CACACACACACACACACACACACCCCAAAAAAAACAAATAAACCCAAATGAACAGACAAAAAATATCAGTGCAAGATAGTAAAATTTATTCAGGGTTTTAAAAAATTAAAGCTATTGGGTAGGATGGTTCAAATAAATAGTAAAAATAAAAAACAGAATGTAAATATCAGCTAAATAGTTTTAGTAATAAAAAAGGAGTAGAATATAAAGGGCACAATGTTTCCCTTGGCAGGCAAAGTGAAAAAGACTTTAGGTAAAGAAAAGAATATTAACCTACACAATATCATTAGCATCTTACTATATACTCTGTGGGACAAATGCCGTATTTAATATTTTTAAATATATTTTTATTGATTTTAGAAGGAGAGGAAAAGAGGGGGCGAGGCAGAGTAAGAGAGAGACATCAATGTGAGAAATATTGATGTGAGTAACATTGATGGGTTGCTTCCCATATGCACCCTGACCAGGGATTGAACCCACAACCTGGATGTATGTTCTGACCAGGAACTGAACCTTTTAGTGCACAGGACACTGCTCAACTGAGCCACAATGGCCAGGGCCTTACTTTTATTTTCAAAACAGGTAAATGAGCCCTGGATGGTTTGGCTCAGTGGTAGAGCATTGGCCTGTGGACCAGTGAGTCACGGGTTTGATTCTGGTCAAGGGCACGTACCTCGGCTGCAGTTCATCCCTGGCCCTGGTCGGGGTGGTGCAGGAGGCAACCAGTTGATGTGTCCCTCTCATTTCTCTCTCTCTCCCTTTCACTCTATCTGAAGATAAATAGAAAAATATCCTCAGGTGAGGATTAAAAAAAAACAAAACAAAAAGAAAAATAAGTAAATGAGCACCTGCTTAAGAAAATTACTATGAAATCCACACATCCCTAGTCTGGTTAAATAACTAATTTATTCTTTGCATTATTAAACCATTTACTAAGCACAATTTTACCAAAGATAACCGTATTTGCTGAATCACTAAAGATTGCTCATTTGCTTTTGCCTTATAAGCAGCATATTAAATTCTCTCTAACAGTTGATCAACCATTTACATGGGCATGGTTAAAAGTCCCTTTTCCCGCCCTGGCCGGTTTGGCTCAGCGGTTAGAGCGTCGGCCTGCGGTCCTGAGAGACAGGGTTCAGTTCCCGCTAAGGGCGCGTACCTCGGTTGCAGTTTGTCCCCGGCCCTGGTCAGTTGTACAGGTGGCAGCCACTCGATGTGTTCCTTTCGCATCGATGTTTCTCTCTCTCTCTCTCCCTCCCACTCTACCTGAACAAAAAATGGAAAAAAAAGTGTCCTCGGGTGAGGATAAAAAAAAAAAAAAAAAAGTCCCTTTTCCCTGCAATTAGCTCTGAGATTTTTTTTTCTTTCAGACTACAATCTACCTGAAAATATAATGCTTGGGCTCAGTGTGGAAATGGGAAACCTTGAGATTATATAGAAGATAAACAGTAAGAAACTATGGCAGATTTAAAAATTGAAATCTTCCCTCCTGAGCACTCCCTGCTTTATTTTTCATCACAAATCTTATCACTCTCTGACAGGTTATTTATTTTACATATTAAGTTTCTTTGTTTTCTCCTCCTACTTAAAAGCAGGGATTTTTGTTGTTTTGTTCACTGCTAGGCATTCAGTGAACAAGACAGTGCCTTACATTTAGAAGGGGATCCATAAATATTTGCCAAATGAATGAATGAGCAATCTTATGCTATCAAAAGAAAATAAAAACTATTAAAATTAATAGTCTATTTGTATCAAAGTGATTCAAACAGAATATTTTACAAATATAAGGAAAAAATGAATAAACTGATGACTAATCTGTTCTGATGAAAAATTCTCATCTATTTCTGAAAAGCAGGACATTGTATTTAGTACCATGACCTGGAAAGTTGGAAGCCCCAACAATCAATATCTGAGCACACTTTTTTTTTGTTAATCCTCACCTGCGGATATTTTTCCATTGATTTTTAGATAAAATAGAAGGGAGGGAGGGAGAGAGAGAAAGAGAGAAACATCCATGTAAGAGAGACACAGGGATTGGTTGCCTCCCATATGCACCCTGACCAGGGCCAGGGATCAAACCTGCAACCTGGGTACATGCCCTTGACCAGGAATCAAACCCGCTACCCTTCGGTCCACGAACTGACATTTCTAACCACTGAGCAAAACAGGCGAGGGCTCTGAGCACATTTTAAAGTTCAGTGTTTATCAAAGTAGTAATAGCTCTTCAGTGGAAGGTAAAACCCTGCCAATTAACTGTACACATTGTGGTTTCTTTTCCTTTAAGAGTCTAGTATTTATAATTATAAATCTCCACCCCTTACAGATCTGTGACAAAGTCTGGAAATTTTCATCACTGTTTATTAAAAGCATCTTAGGAAATAGAGTTAAGTACCAAAAATTCTATACCATATAGTTCAGCAGATAATTTGAAAAGTAGAAAGATCATATTGTTATTGTCATTACTAATGTATTAGTAATAGAAAAAGAGCAAAGGGGAGGCCAGACATTGTAAGCATGGTTATCTGGGCAGCTTCACCAGGAAACTATACTTCACACTTTCCAAGGAACCACCGGTCCATTCCCTGCAAATCACTGGGGGAAGGGGTCCAACAGAGGGGAAAATGGGTGCATGTACAGTGAAGTCAGGTGACATAAAGAAGGTGCTTGTCTGTCAGTTTAACATGGAAAAAAATCACTGGCTGGGGCGGGGTGGGCCCCAATGCAAACCCACAAAAATCTGGGAATACATAAACCGCAGACATAAAGTTCCCTCTCTCTTCTTGTTTCTCTTGCTCTGATCCTGTGCCCTGCACTCTCCTGCTCTGTGGCTTGCACTAACCTGCCATGTGGCCTTAAGCAGTCACATGGCCCATGGCCATGCGAACCCCACATGCAATGGACTGCAGCTAGGAACACAAGCTAAGCTAGCCAAATGCTAGACTGGATTAGACTTAAATATGAAGTGGAGGCTCTGAGCAATGGCGTTAATTCTAGCCCTGCTGAAGACAAGGCTGGACTTTTTCCACAGTGATGGAGGCAAATGAAACCTTGGAAGGGAACCCATTTAATTTTACATCACCAATAAAGCTTTCTGTGATCACTCATCTTCCCATGCGAGTTTCAGGATATTCCTCTCCTTGTGACATCGCAAGAATTCCACTTCCACCTGTAACAGGTGGGGACCCAGAGGGCATCCCACTGATAACAATATTCTTAGGCCATCTTTCAAGAAGCTTCATATTACTTATTTAGCTTGGGACACTTAGGTAAAAATGCATATTTCCACCTCTTTTTTATTGCCCTCACTGATTCTACACTTGCCTTCTGAAAATTCCGGTGGCTCAATGCCACTGCCATGCTGTGTACCCCGTCCTTACTTCAGTCTTCTAGCCCATTTCTTTGCCACAGCCTGGCTCCCCTCCCCGCTCCTTCTCTGACTCTCTGTAAGAAGATGGCAGATGTAGAAGGTATTTGCAGATGAAAAGAGAGGAAAGTGATTCCAACTTGTCCAAAGTTCCTAAGCTGGTTAGTGGTTAAGAATGAACTAAGTTCTAAAATTATTGACTTCCCATTCAAAACTCGAACTTACTGTCTTCCCCATTAATAACCCTTTTTGGATCTTTCCTTGTAAAACTCTTCTTTATTACACACTTGTAAATAAAACACTTGTTGTATACACCTAAAATCAAGAATTCTCCTAAACCCAAATAACTGTTTTCATTTTAACCACATTCAGGTATTTTCTGAGTGGAATCATCTTTCATAAAGAACAACAGGGTTTATCTTTCTTTTTGGTTGTTTTGCAGTTTTTGCACTCGATACTTAAAAAGTACAAAGGTGGTGTTATGAGTTGAATTGTGTCCCCCAAACAATATGTTGAAGTTTTAACTCTAATACCTGTGAATGTGGCCTTATTTAAAAATAAGATCTTTGCCCGGCCGGTGTGGCTCAGTGGTTGAGCATCGACCCATGCACCAAGACGTCGCTGGTTTGATTCCCAGCACATGCCCAGGTTGTGGGCCAAATCCCCAGTGGAGGGCATGCATGAGGCGGCCAACTGATGTTCTCTCATCGATGTTTCTATCTCTCTCTCCCTCTCCCTTCCTCTCTCTCTAAAATCAATAAATAAGAAAAAAATTAAATTAAAAATAAGGTCTTTGCAGATGTAATCAAATTAAGATAAGGTCATTAGAGCTAGTCCTACTCCAATATGACTGATGACCTTATAAGACGAGAAAAATTACTGTGGCTGGTTTGGCTAATTGGTAGAGTGTTAGCCCACGGACCTAAGGGTTCCTAGTCAGGGTGAGTTTGGGAGGCACCTATCCATGCTTCTCTCTCACACTGATATTTCTCTCTTTCTCCCTTTTCCTTCCTTTCTCTAAAAGCAATAGAAATATATTTTTTTTTAAAAAAAGAGGAGGCAAATTTGGACACATACACAGAGAGATGACAGTCAGAAAAATGGAAGTTTTGCTACTAGAAGCCAAGGAATCCCTAGGGCCAGCAGAAGTTGGAAGAGACGAGGAAGGAGCCTCCCCCAATAGCGTCTGAGGGAGCATGGCCTTGACAATCCCTTGATTTTGGATTTCTAGCTTTCAGAACTGTGAAAGGAGAAATTTCTGTTGTTTTAAGTCACTAAGTTTGTAGTACTTTGTTACAGTAGTTCCAGGAAACTAATACAGATTGTGAAATAACACAGGTAACGAAAGTACAACTTTTCTAATTCCATTAGATAGTACTAGCATTATAGTTAAACACAGTCAAAGTAAAGCTATTCCCAAGTGCTTTTTTATACCTAAAAAAGAAAAACCCCACTCTTTAGATTTTTTTTCACATGATCGAATTAAGAGTCAATCCACATCTCAAATGAATTAATTTGGTCTTGGAAAAAAGCAATCAGACTGGTAAAATGTTTAATGGCTAAGCATTACTCCATTAGAGTTGCAAAGGGCCGCACCTTTCATTCATTCAACTACTCAAGGGAAGACCGTGCTTACTTGTTATTAGTTGGTCCTGTTGCCAAGACATCAGACTGTAACTTTGGAAAGAACCCTTGCTCATATTTGCCTTGACCAATTTTCATATCAAGCAGATGTGGGTGGATTGCAGTGTGATCCATTTTCAACAGCCGCTGCTCAATTGATTGGGCTATAAATTAAATTTATAATAAATTAGAGACATTTCATTGGCTAAACCTTAAAAAACAATGCTTCTTCCATTCATGCACCAATAAGGAACTCAATCTTTCTGACACTCTGAAACAGATTTTACCAAAGCTCTTCAAAATCAGTATAATGTAAATATTAAGAGGTTAATTTTAAGTAAATACTAGATAATTAATGTTAACAATATTTCTGCATTTGTCAAAAGCGGGCAGTAGAGTTGAAAAATCTGTAAGCTAGCATTCAGTTTCCCATAAGCGGAAATTCAATATTCTTTTTTTTTTTTTATCCTCATCCGAGGACATTTTCCCATTTTTTGTACAGACATAGTGGGAAGGAGAGAGAGGAAGAGAGAGAGAGAGAAACATCGATGTGAAAGGAACACATCGAGTGGCTGCCACCTGCACGACCAACCAGGGCCGGGGACAAACTGCAACCGAGGTACGTGCCCTTAGCGGAAACCGAACCCGGGTCTCTCTGGACCGCAGGCCGACGCTCTAATCGCTGAGCCAAGCCGGCCAGGGCGGAAATTCAATATTCTTAATGGAAATAGGGTTATAAGTACAATATTAAAGAAAATGATGGCAAATATTTCCCTTGAGCTGAAAGACAGGTAAAGAAAAGGGAAAAGCAAGCACAGACGTCTTATATTAATTTTATATCTTTGTACAAAGACCCATTAAATAGCCATGATTCTTTTTGTAAAAACAAGGAATTATGTGAAGTTTACTACTTTAACAGTCACATTCATTAGTAGGAGTCTTTCAGGAGTATTTATTAGATGTAATGTAGAGAAAAATAAAATAAGCAGCCATTTAGGAAATGTCCAGAGGATAAAAAATTGACCTTTTAAAGCAGCAGTTCTCAACCTGTGAGTCACGACCCCTTTGGGGGTGGAACGACCCTTTCACAGGGGTCGCCTAAGACATAACAGTAGCAAAATTACAGTTATGAAATAGCAACAGAAATAATTTTATGGTTGGGGATCACCATAACATGAGGAACTGTATTAAAGCGTTGCTGCATTAGGAAGGTTGAGAACCACTGTTTTAAAGACTACAATGGGACAAAGTTAAAAGACAGAAATTACCCAGTATTTCTTTTTTTTTTTAAACAACTGAAAGTTAGAGGATGTCTCAAAGACCCAAGAAATAGTGAATTATATCTCTGGTAAAAAAAAAAAAAAAAAAAAAAAATCTGATCTTAAAAGTTTTCATTAACTGAGTTTTCAAGAGGAAATGTAGTATTTGAGAATGAAGACTATGTCGCCAATACTCTGCCTAAAAATTACTAAAACAGGAGATCATGCAGTGACTGTGGTTGTGTGATAAACAGAACACACTGGAGAATTTTGATTCAGAAGTAAAAAAGTATTTTTATAAGTATTTCACACAGTTTATTTTGCTTTTTTAACACCAGATTGAGTACTGCTAATTAGTGCCCGAAAAATAGTCTAAAAAAATGGTTTTTTTGGGGGGTGGAGTGTCCATGACACTATAATCTTGTTAAAACCACCTTATGTAAGATCAGTGCTTCACCCAAACCAGTTATTTGTGTCCAATAATAGTATTAAGAGAAGCTTTGAGGAAGTTACTATTACCTATGACTTAAACTTCAAAATGTTAAACTTCCCTAATTTTTTTTCATAGGAATTTATCTAAAACTTTTGAACTTCATTTTATTTTTAATGTGTAATTTGTAACATCTTGAAACACAATTCCCATGTTTTAATGTGAAATATTTAATTTTCAACAGTGCGCCCCAGCTCTCCACAGCCCTATTCATACTCTCAATGCTTCCTAATATTTAGAAAGCACAAGTAACAGATGGTTTAGGCAAAATAATGCTTAGATTCATGGCATGGAATTTTCTGAAGTTCCTGCCAATTTTACGTTCCATAAAATACTACAAAATTCCATCTCTGCCAATTAGTGCCTCTGTCCTCATGAAAGGGAAAAAAAAAGTAGCTTCAGATTTTCCATTGGGTTTAAAATGACAGCGATATCCATCTGATATTGAGTTATTCTCCTTTAGTGAGGAATCTTTTTTAAAAAAAAACAACCAAAAATCATAATTCACAATGAATTACTCTTGGGTTTACAATGAAGATGACCATAGAAAACATAATGCAATGTTACTTTTCAGTGTTTACGCCACCAGTGAATACTAAGCATTCAGAGATGATCAAATGCCTGCTCTGAGAGGTCATGGGCCTGCTGTTATTCAAGGGTGTGTGCTAGTATATTCAGTGTCTGGGACTGGTAAGAGGAAAGAAAGCTCCACATTACGATCGACTTGCTGTCTTTCTGCACAGAAATCATGATGTTCTGGAGCCACAATGTCGACAGTAGATAACCTCTGCCTAAAGAGTTCACCTGCAAATCAACACTCTTTTTAGTTAGAGGCAAAAGAAAAACAAAAGCACAACAACAAGACAAAAACAACACACAATAAAAATCCAGTACTGACAACAAAACCCCAATCTCCATAGCTTTTGTTGGAGGGGGTAAAACCATTTTACCCAATAAAAGAAATAAGTGCTACCTCTTGGAGAAATGGATAGTCACAACCTCCATTTACTTTTTAAGAGTATTTGATAGAGAATACTTACTGCTTTAGCTGAATCTCATTTTCATATATGTTAAATCTACAATGGTACATTTTCAAGAGCATTATAAAATTTCTGTCATAATAGTGGTAGTATCAAATTCTTTAAGAGGCTGAAAGAAAATCTATTTTAATTGAAAAGATTTCTGGAAGCATATGAAGGAATTAGTGCTAATCTCCATAAAAAAAAAAAAGTCTGTCAGAAAGGGAGGAAGGAAGTTGGCTCAACAAGGCATTGTACTCTTCATAGGCCATTAAAGCACTGAAAGTCAGACTATCCTATGGACAGGCAGAGACGATTTCATTCATTCTACCCTTCAGTTTCCACAGACACAGCAGTAACTGCCATTTCTACCCTCAGAACACACAACAGGCTGATTTTCCACCGAGTTACCAGAGAGGCCTCTAAGGATACAAAAAAGACATTATTTACAAACTTCTTTCCTTAAATATGCTACAACTACAGTGGCACAACTCCTGAGGCTCTGCCCTATTTACATAAAGTGAGAAAGGCAAGTAACAGAAGAGCAAAGACATTCCACCACACTTGCTACCTCCTTTTTCTCCAGAGGAAAAATTGATTTCAAAAAGATCCTACAACTGAAAAAAACTAAATCAAAGGAGAGGGCACTGAGGTGATAAATATCAGCTTATTTGGCAAACAAGAAGTTAGGAACCAGGTATGAATGCATAACATTGTATGGATTGGTACATCGGACGTGTTTCTTTACTGAAAGGACAGTGAACATCGGAGTAAGGCTTCAGGGGCTAGAATCAGTCGAACCTGAGTTCAGATCACAACTCCACCAGTCACTAGTTAGGCAATGATAATAAAAACTGACAGCTCAGTTTTCTCAACTGTAAAATGAGGGTAGTTATAAAACAGAAGTAAATGTGCCTACACCCCACCCCCCCTTCATCATTAAGATCAAATGCAAAAAGGCATGCAAAACACCGGGTAAAATGTTCAGCACCCAGTAAATATTCAGTAAACACTGACTATCAATATGACTATTTATTTGGTGGAGTACTATATTATACTGCCAGACAAGACTGGCCCAAACCGCTAATTCTCAGAGGGAAAACTGGTTTCAGGGTTGGGACACCTCTAATTTGAATACAAGAATCTAGAAATGTAATTTCAATAAATAATGCACTATAATTAATGGCACCACTAAATACTTCCATAGTTATGTAAATTAGGCAGCATCTCAGATTTACTATTTTATTTTTAAAATATTTTTTAAGCCCTGGCCGGTTTGGCTCAGCGGTTAGAGCGTCGGCCTGCGGTCCAGAGAGACCCGGGTTCGGTTCCCGCTAAGGGCACGTACCTCGGTTGCAGTTTGTCCCCGGCCCTGGTTGGTCGTGCGGGTGGCAGCCACTCGATGTGTCCCTTTCACATCGATGTTTCTCTCTCTCTCTCCCTCCCGCTCTGTCTGAACAAAAAATGCAAAAATGTCCTCGGGTGAGGATTAAAAAAAATATATATATATATTTTTTAATTGATTTTTTGACAGAGAAGAAGGGAGAGAGAGACATCGATGTAAGAGTAAATCATAGATTGGCTGCCTCCTGCACGCCCCCTACAAGGGGTAGAACCTGCAATCCACGCATGTGCCCTGACCTATAGTGGGACTGGCAACCCCTGGGTGCCCAACCAACTGAACCACACTGGCCAGAGCTAGATTTACTTCTTTAAATTAACACTTATATTTTCTCAGATAAAAAGAAAAGAAGCCAGAAGTAAAAAAGCCACATAAGCAGCAAAACAGGAATTAACATTTTTTTCCATTAAGGCAATAAAGAGAACAGGACTAAAATCATAGCAACCTTGTAATTATACTCCATTCAATTTGTTATTGCTTTTCCTCTTCTAAGAGAAAAGGAATGTCAAGTAGGAATGGATGGGCATTGACTCACAGAAACAGAAGGAAACAAAACTAGAGAAAGCATGGTGAGGAGGGTGTCAATGGGGGGAAGGGCAGAAATATCTGTAACAAAAATTAATTAATAAAATTTTGAAAAATAAAAAAGAAAGTACCGCCCTGGCCGGTTTGGCTCAGCGGTTAGAGCATCCGCCTGCGGTCCGGAGAGACCCGGGTTCGGTTCCCGCTAAGGGCATGTACCTTGGTCGCAGTTTGTCCCCGGCCCTGGTTGGTCGTGTGGGTGGCAGCCACTCGATGTGTCCCTTTCACATCGATGTTTCCCTCTCTCTCTTTTCCTCTCTCTCCCTCCCACTCTGTCTGTACAAAAAATGGAAAAATGTCCTCGGATGAGAATTTAAAAAAAAAAAAAGACTTCAAAATGTTAATAAACATTCAAAAAAAAAAGAAAGTACCTCGATATACAGTACAAGGATTAACCACAAAGTCTAAAACTGACAACGCTTTGGTTTATAAGGCCAACAATGTGTACCACATAGTCATGGATGGTAAGTTAGTTTAAAAAGGCATGGCAAATACCTGCTTCTTTTAAAGTGCTGCATTTCTGATATATAGATGTCCTCAAGGTGGGTGCCCTTACATTATACAGTCTTATCTTCTCAATTCGAGAGTCAAAGACCCGAAGCAAAGGATCTTTCTCCTCCCACTGAGACATAATTTTATTATCAATAAAGGTGGCAAACATCTGTGTTTCGATGAAGCGTGAAAGAAATGGTAGGTATGGCTCAGGCTGGTCAGACAGAAAGGAAGCCTGTAATGAGATAATTAAAAAAGTATGAGTGCAAAAAGACCCATCTCAATACTATATAATAAATCCGAAAATTATCTATTGCTAAGGTCATTCTTTTTAAACCTTATAACATGCAAAACTGACACTTAAAATGCAAAAATCCTTAAATATTCTCTTTGCCTTCCTTTCTTCTAAATTCATGGAATTTAGGTCACTTAGGTCTTTATCATGGATCCTACCTTTCAACTCTGATTTACATTCTGATCCTCGTGACCATTACGCAGAAAATAGAGCATCATTAATGAAAGATGGTGGATCGCTTGCTACAGGATCATCAATCATCCTCTTCACTTACCATTAAATTTGACCCCTTTCCCCAGTGTGCTGTAATTTCTTCTGCTCTCTATTTCTGGCCTATGCAATATACCTCCAAGTCATAAGGCAGAGTGAAGTAATTAACTGATACAATAATGATATATACATAATAAGCTTAAATAAAAACAACATGGAGTTTGTCTTTATGGGTGAAATCTTTTTGTTCTTCTTCAACTAGATGTTTTTCTAGGCCCCATCTCTGTTAGAGACTGATGAGTGAGTGTTAATTCAAGATCAAACTCCTTCCGGACCTGTGCTGAAAGACTAGTCTGGGCCTTAACAATTGAAAAAAGCATTGCCTAAAAAAACATCTGAAACAAGCTAAGCCTTTGAAAAACGTGTACAACACATTCCTGCTCCCAATTTGCTGCATAGAGTGGTTCAGCAAGTTGTGATCAGTGTTTAATTCAGAGTTTCTTTTTTCTTTTTTCTGTGGTTTCTCAGGTCTCTGTGTGTCTAGAAATTCTAGTTGCAGTCTGATACTAGCTGAAATTTGTAGATGAGCTGCTAATTCAGCTGCTGTGTTGGTTTGACTTCTTTAGAGCAGATGCAGAAGGATAAATTCTGATGTAAGATTACTCTCCTTAATATTCATCAGCTTCTTCCTAGCATGTTTCTCATTCTGAAATCTAGGAAGCTTTTTAAAAACATCCTTACAGACACCCACTTACTCAATTTAAGTGGTTCCATAGTTCAGATGTATTTACATAAATCCAAATAGCCAGAAAAAGGTTTATAGTAGTCTCTAGAAATCAGTTCACCTCTTTAAAAGGTTACTTTACTGATAAACATCAAGTTTACTTTTTATAGAGCAAAAAGCCTTTTTTTCTAAATGGGCCAAATGTCTGGCTTTGATATTCAGACCCTCTCGGACTACAACATTTAAGGTCAGCAAAGACTTGGCTTGCATCACTAGTATGTGACAGTTCTGTAAATTTTCCTAGTGAAAAATTAGATGATTACAAGCCTTCTGGAATCCGACATGAAGCTTTCATTTCTCTAGGGGTTATATAAAAAGAATTCCATTTATAGTTTGAAGCTACATAAAGATTAAGGAGGAAGAAAGTACCAGTGCTTGATTTAGATAAGAATTCGAACTGCCCCAAGGATAAATCATGAGTGTACACAGTAGTTCCAAGTTGAATAGGAAAAAATGTGGAAAAATGGTTAAACTTAATGAGAAAGGAACCTAAAAGCACGAATACATTTGGAGAAGTGAAGGCTTCTTAAATTTTTAAAGAAGTTTCCCCAAACATAAAGTGCACCAGAACTTAGCTGTTCAATAATAGTTTATGTCCTCAACCTGAAAAAAATATCTGATGAGATCAGAAAATACTCTTTTATACTATCTACTTTTACAGAATTTTAAAATTAGCATTTATTTATCAGATGCTCTAAGATTGTAAATTAGGCTCTTAAAATGGATTAGCCCCCTTAAGGAGTCTTTCACAACCAAAGTTAACATTTAGCGAAAAGCCATAATTCATTCTAATAGCAATATCATGCCTCAGCTATCACAGTGGCAGGAGACTAAACTATATCCTGGTGACCTGAAAGAGTTAATGCTCTTCCCTTAAGTGCTTTTGTCTGCGAGGGGGGGGGAGGGGGAGGAATTCTGATGGCTATGTCAAGAAAATCTGGCAGAACAATACTCTATAGTGAACCTTAGAAAGAAGCTTTGGCGTCAGCAGGACAAGCAAAAGCTGTGCTATTTTGTCCTCTGTTCCCTAAAATTGGAACAGAACCTTAGGCTTAGAGTCATAAAATCTAATTCATCCATCTTTCTCTCTTTTGATCTAGAATAAGATCAAAATTTGGCTTCTGAGCTCTGGCTGGTTTGGCTCAGCGGTTAGAGTGTCGGCCTGAGGTCCTGCGAGACCAGGGTTCGGTTCCCGCGAAGGGCATGTACTTCGGTTGCAGTCTGTCCCCCCGCCCTGGTTGGTTGTGTGGGTGGCAGCCACTCAATGTGTCCCTTTCATGTCGATGTTTCTCTCTCTCTCTCTTCCTCTCTCTCCCTCCCACTCTATCTGAACAAAAAATGGAAAAATATTCTCGGGTGAGGATAAAAAAAAAAAAATTTGGCTTCTGAAACTAAACTGTTTGTTACCTTTACATGAACAAATCGTGACTTCATTATATTGAAGACAGAATAGAAAATAGGATTTATTACAAAAGAACGAGGCTGTATTTAACTAGATTTGATCCTAAAATAAGAGTAAATGAAACTCTTACAAGATCAGACGTTGTTAACAAATTTGAAAAACCTGTGAAATCTAAGTTTCTATAATTCAAAAGTTTTCAAAGTATAGAAAATTTTAAAATGAGATGAAAGGCAATTTAATACACAATTCAATGGCCAGTTTAATGAGCTAGTTGATTTGCTTTCCTGTGAAATTGTTTTATCTAGTGTAAAATACTGGTAAAGAAAAGTTCTTAATAGAAGGAAGAGGAAAAATCTGTGTTAAAGTTAACAAAATAAAATAATTTAGCCCACTAAGAACCATAAAAAGGGAACTGCGGTTCTTTTTACTTTGTCAAAGTTCTGCATCTGTTCCCGGTTGGTGAGCCAGGATTCCATGTCCTGGGCACTCTGAATCACAAACGCTTCATAGTCTGCAAACATCTGCGTAAAGCGGTTGGCAAACACCTCTCGGAGCTGTACATTGAGCTGGTAGTCCCTGAGGTCTGCCTCTTCGCACTGCAGTTTCAAATCCTTCTCTTTTTCACCCAGAGAGCCAGGGAGGTCTACTTTTTCCACAGTAACACCGGTCCGCTTGGCCAGAGCCTGGAGGCGGGCTATGGTTTCGTTGCCCTTCAGTAACTCATACATGCTGATGTTATTGGTGGAGACGTTGCCATTCTTTTTGTCATTGACCAAGTCTTTCAGAACCAGGTTCTTCAGTTTGTTGGCACTCTCACTGCAATGGAGGCTGCCCTCAGGAGGGATCCCAAATTGAAGAAGAACTTCAGAGAGTTCCTGGATGAAATCCACTTTATTGGGGAACTGTGGAAATTCTTCAGGCAACTCGATAAAATGGTTGTCAATATCCACAAAACACAAATTGGCCTGAAAGAGAAAAAAGAAATATAAAGGTTTTAAAATGAAGAAATTTTAAGTTCTAAAACATTCTTGTCAACTATTATAAAAAAAGTCACAAAGTACACAGCCTTTCATGTTAACCTTCTCAAGGTTAAGAATATTTTATTCTTTAAAAGTAAATCTCTGTTGCCAGCGGTTTTCTCTACATGAGTATTTTTACACCGTATCTAATATGAATAAATGATTTTCTCTGGGTCTCATTAATTTATTATAATTGAGACATGTTTCTATAATCTATGGCATCCATTAGGCATTCCTGAGTAAAGGTGCACAGACTGACAGAACCTCACAAATTGAAGGCACTAGGTTTGCCCACTGAATGAGCCTGCATTTTCTATGCCATGCCACTGCTCTAATACCATCTGTAACTTAGAAATAACAATTGCTAAAATTTAGCAGCTGTAGTCCTCCCCCTAAAATGGGACAACATTGGCAAAGAGCAATCCTAATTTACAGAAAATCCACAAATTTTTACTTATCCAAAATTAGCTTCAGCCTCTTGGACAACAAAACCATTTCAGAAGTCATTAGACAAAGAGCAGGAGGCACAGGGAGGTGGTAGAAGCAGTGCTTGGAGAACTACAAATGATTAACCCTTAGATAATTAAGAGTTGACTCAGGAGATAATTGAGTTGAGGAGAAGAGGATAGAAATCAGAGGAAATGGTTTCTTTAAATATGCTTATATGCTAGGTTTTAAATAAAAAGACTTTTAAATATTTTTCAAGTAGATATGGAAAATTCAAGGAGCCAAGCACCAGCATAAAATTCTGATTATCCCTCAGGTACTTGATTATGGTAGACTCAAAACAATATTTTACTTTTACTGTGCAGACCCTCTTAATCTGAACAAGGTTGTCAGTAAAAGGGAAGATTGTGCTCCTGGCCTGGGGAGGAAGGGGACAAAGATGAAGCCCATCACATAAAACTGATCCTGACTGCATCAGGGGCTGCACACAGGGCATAGGGTGGAAGTCAGTAAACAGCACAGGAAGCTTCACCTGTGTCTCCCCATCGCCTCACCCCCACCCTACCCCCCATCTCCACCTCCCAGGTCAGCCAGGGGAAACTTTACTCTGTCCTGATTCTGAACGCCAAGGAAAGGTGAAACATGGAGAGCAAATAGTTAGATCTCTATTCTTCTCTCATGTTAGATACTGATGAGCAAGAGGTATAGCAAAGTTCCAAATAAAGCTCAATAAAAACTTAAGATATCCCCCCTTCCAAAAACAGAGAACCGCCCTGGCCGGTTTGGCTCAGCGGTTAGAGCGTCGGCCTGCGGTCCAGAGAGTCCCGGGTTCGGTTCCCGCTAAGGGCATGTACCTCGGTTGCAGTTTGTCCCCGGCCCTGGTTGGTCGTGCGGGTGGCAGCCACTCGATGTGTCCCTTTCACATCGATGTTTCTCTCTCTCTCTGTTCCTCTCTCTCCCTCCCACTCTATCTGTGCAAAAAATGGAAAAATGTCCTCGGGTGAGGATAAAAAAAAAAAACAAAAACAAAAACAGAGAACCAACAATGATTTCTTCAAGTCTGGCGTAACCTTTGAATATAACCCATTAATTCTACAAATGGAGAAATGGAGGCCTAAGAAGGTAGGTAACTTCCTGACACCTGTCTCAGGTACACATCCTCAAAGAGCCTGGTGGCTTAAGGGATTTCCCCTCCTGTATCTTTCCTCTTCTCCAATGTCAATAGTTTTCTCTAAATAAAGTAAGAGCTGAAGTCACATCTTGCTGAAGACAGTGGTGCTGCCTACAGCTTTCTTTAAATCCACATCTTTACATGTGTTTCTCTAGTCTCTAGAAAGCAGGGTTTATTGAAAAGCTTAAAGGGAGAAAGTAGGTCACCATAGTTCACATGGATGGTTCAATATCTTTAAAAATGGAAGAAAAAAATCCACTAACTTGCTAATCTAAATGTTAACCAGCAACCTCTCACCACTTACATTTTGTCCTGTCTCCATTAATGCCTTCCTGCTATCCTTTTCAATCCCTCACCTCCTCTTATGAAAAGAAAAATGATGCATTTTGAAAATTTTTTAAGCCTGTTATGCTCATGTAATTGCTGCTGAGCTGGAAGTATGTGGCAAGGTGGGTGTTCCAGCATCACAGCTACGGGGCTGTCTTCATGGGACTCACACACACCCTCCTATGTCTGCATGCAAGAGAAAGTTGGGGCTCTGGTATCACCAAGTAGAAATGGGAAATGGAAACTTGTGTTATAAAACTTTACAAAAGAACAGCCAACAAGTTGTTTTATAAAACAAATGAGAACTTCATACAGCAGAGTATTTTTAATGTCACTTTCTCACTTTTAATAGCATTAAAAATTTAAAAATTCTATGAGAAAAGCTCAAGAAGTATTATACACAATGAAAAATATACTCGACATCTCAATCTTACGTTGTTTTAAGACTAAATATTTCTATATTTTTACTGATCAAAATGCCCAGCCTTTATGGAATTACTTCCAATGAAAAACAATAAACATTCCCTCAAAAATAAGAAAACAAAAACTTGAAGCTTAATTATCTCTTCTGCCATAAAATCTTTCTATGTCCCCATCCTAAAAGCATTTTGATTTCCTGTGTATATATTCTTAGTTCACTCATTCATTCCTCTTACTAACATTTATTTATAGCCTATATTATTGATATTTGTAAATGACTTATTCTGGAAGGCAGAAGTCACCCCTTATTGACCTTGATGTCTCCCAATGTCTCCTCCACTAGTAGTGTAAGAGACAACTATTTGCTGAATGAATAAACAAGGCTCAAGGAGACAGTCATTTTCTGGAAACCCAAAAATGTAGGTAGGAGGGATAAGTATCCAGGAATGAGAGGCCTGGGCAGCTCTCTTCATGTTGAGTAAGGAATCCAGTTTCTCAATGGCAGAAGTTAAACGGGAAAAGGGTTAGCTACAGGAGAATATTTAAAACAATCCCAAAGAATCTCAGGGCAGATGCGGCAAAAACAAAGTGACAAAAGCAATTCCACTTCAGTTTTCTTTTTTTTTTTCCTGGTCCACCATTTACTCTACAGATGAGCAAGAATAATAGAAAGTAAGGTACCATTCTATGCAATTATTCCAGACCACTATATCCCCCGTTACCCTCTGCCCCCTAGAAAAAACAATACGACAAATGGCTCCCTGTGCCTATCATTTTGGAATCATGGGGAAAGAGAGTGGGTGGTTAATTATAAGTCTATGCAGTTACGTCAGTCAGCTAACAACTAAAATCATACCTTCTTAAAATAATCATTTCGTAAACATCATTTTCACAACTATTCTAAAAATCCCTGTTACTATTTTTAACTATTATTTTCTTTTACAGTTTTCAGAAAAGGTGGGGGGAGAGGCGGTGAGTATTACTAGTGAAGTGTATTAAGTCACTTTATTTATTTATTTTTGTTGTTAATCCTCACCTGAGGACATATTTTCCTACTGATTTTTAGAAAGTGAAGGGAGGTGGGCTGAGAGAGAAAGAGAGAGAGAGAGAAACATCAATGTGTTGATTGGTTGCCTCCTGCATACACCCCAACAGGGGCGGGGATCGAACCTGCAACCTAGGTACATGCGCTTGACCAGGAATCGAGCCTGTGACCCTTTGGTTGGTGCACAGGCCAACACTAACCACTTAGCCAAACGGGTCAGGGCTAAGTCACTTTTTAATAGGGTTATTTTTATACCTACTTCCTCCCAAAATTATGTGAAGTAGATTATTTCATTTCACTGTAAAACTATACCACAGCAGAGTGATATACTTTTCTTCTAAAAGTCATTACTAATTTATACTTTCTATACAAAAGCACTGCTATTTTCACAGCTGATTCAAGTACTTTCTATTATTCTACTCTATGACTAGAAAGATGGGTATGTATATTTATTGGACAGTGTTTTAATGAATAAAAATTAGAAAATCACAGATATTACTCTAAGAATTTACATAATTTTTAAGTTTAGCTTTAGAGTCAGAGGATACGCATGGACATAGAGACATACTTCCCGACGACATCAAGGTGGTATTTTAAAATCCTCAGCAATTATTACTCATGCAAAAATGGAAATATAATATTTATATATCTAAACAAAGGATCTTATAAAACATTATCTGTTTAACATACCATAGACCAGATACCCAAGCACCTGAAACATGTCACTGTTTAAGAATTTTAGAACAAAATGCATTTGGCTAGTCTATTTCTTTTTTCTTGAAAATTTAAAGGATTTATATCTTTAAACCATCAAGATACTGAGATTAAGTTAATGAAAGAGAAAACAAGGGCATTCAGATAACAGAAAAAAAGAGGTATAACAAGGAGGCAAAAGCCCAGAAAGACCAAGACAGTCTGCATGTGATTATATATGATGTGAGTCAAGTTACTTTCTCCTGAACAAAAATGTTACTTTTTGTAGGGAAAAATATCATTAGAATAATAAAGCAACTAGGTAACACTACCTCTGTTCCATCTTCACAAATTTAGAGCTCTGAAAATTTGCCACTGTCCTGCTTTACACCATGTTTAATTAATGACTGTCACAGTAACCATCAGGGGTCAGGATCTGCATTCTATGGCTGGGGCTTTGCCCTAGACCTACCTGGGAGATTCAGAACAGAGACAAGGTTTGGACAAAGACCATGCTATCTCAGGAAAGTATCCTTGACCTAAATCAACAAACAGCAAATGCTTCATCATTCATTATAACTTTTACCTCTTGAGGAAGCTCTAGTTTAGAACGGTCAGTTCCTTCTTTTGACTGAAGGCCCATCAGATAAGGGACAGGAGCATCAAGAAAATGTAGCAGAGAAGCAGGGAGGATGGGCACATAAACATGCTGCCACTGAAATGGGAACAAAAGTGTGGTGATGCCTTCCGCCACAGTCATCAGGCGCTGATAATCTGCACAGAACAAGGAAAAACGGAGGGGAAGATTCCGAGTAAAAAACATAATCACTGCATTGAGCTTGAAAATATCAACTTCTAGAAAAATTCTTGTGCTAATAAATTAAATCTTTCTTTATGACCATATAGAAAATAGGTCATTTCTACCCCATCATAATTAAAGAGTTAAATGGTTTAATTTGAATAGTTTTTAGAGTATGAGTAGGTGGGAAACATAATCATACTCTTTGCTTCTGAAATCACTGGTATATGAATTTACATTCTCTTAAAATGTGGAGGAAACACGAACTAATAAAATTGCTCTTGGCACTTCTCCCATTAAAAATGTACCAGAATATCACTACTGATCACTTTTTGTATACATGTATAGCTATACAATCCCCAAATTCAGAGGCTTTTTTTCCTTGTATATATAATTACCCTGATCATATGTTTGTTAGCCTGCATTCTGTGGGTATGAGAAATCAACAGATGTATGCATTCATAGTCAAACACTTCCTATCTTTAACCCCCAACTACAGAACTATCAAATCTGGGGACAAAGTGAAAGTTACCAGAAAATTAAAGGTTGTTTTTTTTTTATTGTGTTTTGTTTACATGAACAACTTTATCAAAACTAAAAAGTATCTATAATATCAAAGTGCCCCCCCCCCGTTTTGAGATATAGTTGACATATAACACTATATTAGTGTTATGTGTACATTTGATACATGTATACACTGCAAACTGATTAGCACAAATTTAGTTAATATGTCACATAATTACAAATAAACTATTCTATTAAACCACCCTGCCATGGATGCATTATACAAATATATGTCTATAATCCCTTGGAGGCAGACATGTTGTGGAATTCAGACCTTTTTTTAATTTAGAAAGATAATATTGTGCATACACCATACACATGAAATATTTAGGGCAACACCCAGTAATCAAACACATTAGTATTTCTGTGTTTGGGTCCCAGTAGGACAGATAGCCAAAGATTAAATAGGTTCACTTTGGTTCAGGTGTGGTCTTGCCAATAAATTAATTACAAAAAGAATGTTTGGTTTTCAGAATTTTTTTTTATTCGAGAATTGAAGAGATGGAGTATTATAGAATTGTAATATTCTCTCACAGAATTCACTGAGCACTAATACAGTAAAATCTGAGGGAATAACACTTTGGAGAGTCTTCTTTATTTTTATTTTTTTTATCCTCATCCGAGGACATTTCGATATTTTGTTCAGATAGAATGGGAGGGAGAGAGAGAGAGAGAAACATCGATGTGAAAGGGACATCTCGACTGGTTGCCAACCACACGACCCAACCAGGGCCGGGGACAAACTGCAACAGAGGTACCCTTAGCGGGAACCAAACCCGGGTCTCTCTGGACCGCAGGCTGACGCTCTAACCGCTGAGCCAAACCGGCCAGGGCTAGAGAGTCTTCTTTAAAAGGTTAAGGAAAAATAAAAAAACAAAATAAATAAATAAATAAAAGGTTATGATATGATTAGATGCTTACTTGGTTCACAGCAATTCAAAGAATACTTAACCAAGCAAAAATGGAGTATTATTCCATTTAAAATTTTTTCTTATGTTGTTTTATAATTTGTAAATGACTACCTTTAACAGAATTTTGATAATGAACCATCAGCTATCCATAGCCCAAGTGCACTATTTTCCTTATTTGACTCATTAAATTTTAGATGAATACTTCTACAAATCAAATACCAGATGGCCTGAGGTATGGGGTCAGTCATATGAATGCACAGAGTTAACCCAATCACCTGAGGTGATGATACAGGAACACAGGAAACATACACAGACAGACAGACAGACACACACACACACTAGATCAGCTGAGGCTCAGAGAAGAATCTGGGCTACTATTCGAAGGTGGGGTGTTGGGAGAGTGGTCAAAGAAGATCTCTGTCTTTCCCTTCTACCCTTCCACTCTCTCTAAAAATCAATATAAAAAAATCCTTGGGTGAGAATTAAAAAAAAAAAAGGAGTTCAGACAATTTAGCTACCTATCACTCTGCTTGTAATCAGGCAGATGTTTCTACAGAAGACAAGGATCTTACATCATAGGGGTGGGGTTTAAAAAAATCCTTGGGTGAGAATTAAAGAAAAAAAAAAAGGAGTTCAGACAATTTAGCTACCTATCACTCTGCTTGTAATCAGGCAGATGTTTCTACAGAAGACAAGGATCTTACATCATAGGGGTGGGGTTAAGATTGAGGAGCTGACCTGAAATGTGCTGAATGCTCTAGGTTTAGAAACTGTAGCACAGTCAGAACTAAGTGCAGCTCTGTAATGTCTGTAATGTGACAGGATTCCATTATGGTGCCTGCCCCATGGGCTCTCTCCTCTATGGTGGGCTCCCTATGGGCAGAGCAGTACCTTTTTAAAAAGTTTCTTAAAATTATTTTTCTATTGTCCTGGCCAGTTTGGCTCAGCAGTTAGAGCGTCGGCCTGTGGTCCAGAGACCCGGGTTCGGTTCCCACTAAGGGTACGTACCTCGGTTGCAGTTTGTCCCCAGCCCTGGTTGGGTCGTGAGGGTGGCAACCACTCGATGTGTCCCTTTCACGTCAATGTTTCTCTCTCTCTCTCTCTCCCCCACTCTATCTGAGCAAAACATCAAAAAAAAAAAAAAAAGTATTTTTCTATTAAAGTTGACATTCATTATTTTATTAGTTTCAGGTGTATGGTATAGTGGGTAGACATTTATATACTTTATACAAAATGATCCCCCCTATAAGTCTAGTACCCACCTGACCCTATAATAGTTATTACAATATTATTGACTATATGACTATTTTGTAACAGTCAATTTGTACTTCTTAATCACTTCTACTTTTTCACCCAGTCCCCCCCCAATCTGCCAACTATCAGTTTACTGAGACTCCCTATATATGTGAAACCATATGGTATTTGTCTTACTCTGTTTTACTTATTTCACTTAGCACAATTCCTCTAGGTCCATCATGCCATCACAAATGATAAGATTTCATTCTTTTTTTTGCCCTGGCCGGTTTGGCTCAGCGGTTAGAGCGTCGGCCTGCGGTAGAGAGACCTGGGTTCGGTTCCCGCTAAGGGCACGTACCTCGGTTGCAGTTTGTCCCCGGCCCTGGTTGGTCGTGCGGGTGGCAACCACTCAATGTGTCCCTTCACATTGATGTTTCTCTCTCTCTCTCTCTTCCTCTCTCTCCCTCCCGCTCTGTCTGAACAAAAAATGCAAAAATGTCCTCGGGTGAGGATAAAAAAAAAAAAAAAGATTTCATTCTTTTTTATGGCTGAGTAATAAATATTCCATTGTATACATGCCCCGTTTCTTCATCCAATCATCTATCAATGGACATTTGGGTTGCTTCCATATCTTGGCTATTGCAAATAATGCTGCCATGAACATAGGGATGCATACAGTCGTCCCTCGCCACTTCACGCTTTGACTTTAGTGGCCTCATTCTAAACCGCGATAGAGTGAAGCTGTGAAAGTCGAAGCACGAAGTGGCGAGGGACGACTGTATATAAAAAAAAGAATCCTACTTCGTGGAAATTCATTTATTGTGGTAGAGTCTGGAACTAATTAACCACGATAAACGAGGAACGACTGTGTATACACTTTCGAATTGGTGTTTTGGATTTCTTCAGATAAATATTCAGAAGTGGGATTGCTGGGTCGTGTGGTAGTCTTACTTTAAAATTTTTGAGTAACCTCCATAGTAGTTGTACCAATTTACATTCCCACCAACAGTGCAGGAGGGTTCCCTTTTCTCCAGATCCTCAACAACACTTGTTCATTGATTTTTTTTTTTTTATCCTCACCCAAGGACATTTTTGCATTCATCTTCAGATAGAGTGGGAGGGAGAGAGGGAGGAACATGCCCTTAGCGGGAACCGAACTCAAAACTCTCTGGTCTATGAGCTGATGCTCTAACCGCTGAGCCAAACCAGCCAGGGCTTGTTAATTTTTTTAATGATAGCCATTCTGACGGATGTGAGACAATATTTCACTGAGGTTTTAATTTGAATTTTGCAGAGCGGTATCTTTTTATCTCATTTTGCCCACGAAACACAGAGCCAGTGCTGACCAAGATTTACTGACACCACTGAATGTTTTATTTTTCTTCTTTTTCTAACAAAACACAAACACAATAAAAGGAGTACAAAGGTATACAAGATAAGTAACTATAAAAAGACCAAATCCGAGAAAATGTCCTTAAGATTCTCTTCTGTGTATATCTATTTCAATCAAGGATTGGAGTCTTTTTTATTTTTGAAACCACAGCACTTAGCACATTATCTAGCATATAACAGATGCTCAAAAATATTTTTTAATAAATGAATTTATTTATTGTTTTAAGACTATATAATTTTGCTGGATATCCATAACTTAAATAGATTTGATTAGATTTTGTCCACATAAAATTAAGGAACCACTAATTTTTTAGTAGGAGAAAATAGTAACTCCTCAGTCAAGAAACTACTCAAAAATCACCTTTCCCGGATATTCATATATGTAGCTAATTACATGTATGCCCAGGTACACTATAAAGGAAATTCAAATTAAGCCTCATATATTGTTCATTATACAAAAAATTGTTACCAAGTGACTCATTCTACCATGTATAAGTACACTCTGTAGGGATCAGAACTACTGTTTATTTTTAATTTTTTTAGAGAGAGAGGAAGGGAGAGAGAGAGAGAAATATCGATGAGAGAGAACATTGATTGGCTGCCTCCTGCATGCCTCTTACTGGGTATTGGGTCCACAACCTGGGCACGTGCCCTGACCGGGAATCAAACCAGTGACCTCTTGGTACATGGGTTGACATTCAACCACTGAGCCACACGGTCCGGGCCAGAACTATTGTTTAAAAACCAATATTACATTTTAAAGTTTTTCTTCCTGTGTATTAAAAATGTAAAGATACTAAAGGTGAAATATAATGCAGGCTTCCCAAGGTCCTTCAGAGTGGGAAAGGACTCTCAGGAAGCTTCCACCAACT